CTTTGCCAATTGGGAACCATTCTGTTTCTTCATGTTCTGTTCCGACAGCAGCCTCTCGTCCTGAGTTCAGATTCCTTATCCGGACTATAAGATGTGTTGGCACTCCCGTGTCAAGCTTGTTGTCTTCTATTTCTCTGCATTAGTCGTTGTAGTAATTTTCTGCATTTAGTGCATTTGGTGGAGTGGAAACCAGGAACAGATATATATATAAAGAAGATGTCTGTCTCTACCTGGGCAAGTTTCTTGAAGAGGTACAAGATCTCTCAACATACTCATTCTACAGACTAACATAGTTATATCTTTGAATTTGACCACTATGGAAAGCACCAAATGTAGCTGAATGGAGTGGAAATCCATCAACCTCTTGAAACAAGTAAAATGGAGATCCAGTATGGTCCAGTGTGGTTTGATTGTAGGACTGGGACTCTGGAGACCAGGGTTCGATTCCCCACTTGACCATGGAAAATCGACCATGTGACTTTGAGTGGGTGACACACTCTCAGCCCCTGAAAACCCTGTGATAGGTTTGCGTCAGTCTGAAACTACTTGAAGGCACTCAATAATAGACAACTAGAAGACAAGTGCTCCCATTTCAAGCAGGGAGTTTCATTCATGCATTTCATTGACTTCTTTGTTCCCTTTCACTTGGAAGTGAAAGCAGAGTTTAATCTGGTCTCCTCTGCAGACAGTAGCATACTAAGCAATAGGGATGGAAAATATTTGAAAAAATAGTCAAAAACCAGTTTCTCAAGTGTTGGGAAACCCAGATGAGGACAAATATAGGTGTGCGAATCTTCAGTTTGGGACTTATCCTGTGTGAAAAAATGCATCTGGGAGGTTCTTTTTGGACAAAAAATAGAATTTTCTCCAAGGAAAATAACATTTCTCTATGGGAAACAAGCTTCTAGCACAGGAAATAGTACCTTCTGCACAGAAAACAATATTTCTGTGTAGAAAACAATTACATTTCTGCACAGAGAAAACTGTTTAATGGGTAGGAAATTTTGTTTTCGGTGCAGAAAGGTTGTTTCCTGTGCCAAAAAATGTGGTGCAGAAAAACTACACACATTTTCCACCCCACATATTATTAAGTCCTGAATTGCAAATAGCCTTTGGAAACTGAGCCTTTGAAAACTGAGCTGAATTGGAAGGAATGCACTCTTCTCCTCTCTGTAAGAAAGTTTTTGAAAACTGCTTCAGTTTTCAAAGGCTACTTGCAATTCAGGACTTATTAAAAACTTTTTTGCAAAGAGGAGAAAAATGCATGCCTTCCAATTGTCCCAGTTTGGCAGGGACAGTCTCAATTAGTCCTCTCTCATCCCCTCCTTTTTTTCCTTCCTGCTTTCAGAATGTCCCAGTTCTTCTCTCCTCTTCCCACTTTCTCCCTTTATTCTCAGATTACTTCAGTTGCTGTACATTGACTTCAAAGTGCAAAAGGAGTTTGCTCCTGAATGACTAATGGATGCTTTGATTGTGAGTTCCTGCATGGCAGAATGGGGTTGGACTGGATGGCCCTTGTGGTCTCTTCCAACTCTATGATTCTATGATTCTATGACTAGATTACAGAGCTGAGCCAAAACACACAGTATGAACTTCATCAGGGGGAAATGTAAGGTACTGCTCCTAGGCAGGGGAAAAAAATGAAATGCATAGATATAGGATGGGGGACACCTGGCTTAACAAAACTATGTGTGAAAGGGATCTAGGAGGCCTAGTATACTACAAGTTGAACATGAGTCAACAGTGTGATGCGGCAGCAAAAAAGGCCAATGTGATTCTAGGATGCATCAACTGAAGTCTCGAATCTAGATCAAGGGAAGTAATAGTGCCACTCGATTCTGCTTTGGTCAGGCCTCACCTGGAATAATCCTGTGTCCAATTCTGGGTACCACAATTCAAAAAGGATGTTGAGAAGCTGGAACATGTCCAGAGGAAGGCAACCAAAATGGTGAAGGGTCTGGAAACCATGCCTTATGAGGAGAGACTTAGGGAGCTGGGGATGTTTAGCCTGGAGAAGAGAAGGTTAAACTGCTGCAGCCTCTCCTAGATTGTATGTCGTTTCTCATTAATAATTTTTGCCCTCTTGACCATACTCTGATTTTGCTTGGCCACATATGCCCTGGTTTTCATCTGTAAAATGTTGGATGGTATTGTCAACTCTAGGGGTCAACATTGTGTAGTAGTTCGAACACTGGACTAGGACATTGGGAAGCCAGGGTTCAAATCCCAGCTCAACCATGGAAACCCACTGTGTGACCTTGGGCAAGTCACACTCTCTCAGCCTCAAAGATTGGCAATGGCAAAAGCCCTCTGAACACACCCTGCCCAGAAAACCCCATGATAGCTTCGCCTTAGGGTCACTATAAGTCAGAAATGATTTGCAGGCACACAACAACAATTGTCAAGTCTAGCTTAGCCTAACCAGTAAGATTTCAGCCTAAATCTACGACTATGTATCACCTACTGTCAAAGGAAGAAATTTATGAAGATTTATTTTGAAGATTTATTTGATGACGATTTATTTGATCATTTTAATTTGTTGTCTCTTTTGTATTAATATGTATTATTTTATTATTT